AGCTCAGTTGGAAGAGCATTGGGCTAGTATTCCATAGGTCGTAGGTTCGAATCCCACCGTGGCCGGGCATATTTTTCAAGCTCGCCCGGTGTGGATATACACTCAGAGTAACACCACAAATATCAAATTATAAATACATAAACATACCTTTCGCCGAACATAACTTCGGCCCCTTGAGACATATGCAGAATGTGATATTCTTGATGAATTAAGCGTTTAAAATACCATGTGTAGTGTTATTTTCAACCTTCTATCTTTAACGTGTGACTTTTAGTGCCGAATTTTACATTTCTGCTGCGAATTTGCGATAATCCCAACCGGAAATACGACGAAAACTCGTCAAAACAATGCCTACGCTTGTATCGCGTGACTCTGCAAATGCCAGAAATGGTTCTACAGGTCAAAGTGCACCCATACGCGTGAGTTTGACGTCATCCCGGCTAAAGTATATATTACGTAATACAAGCGCGTGCGAGTAAAACCCGATACCTTGAAAAATTCAAAATAACTATTTCTACTCATCGTATTCATACGAAACTTTCTACACTAAAGCGCTTGAATACAAAGAGTATTTTACACATATAGCCTTTCAGAAAATGACGAAAAGTTTATGTTTGATTGATTTTGACCAATATTACCGTCGTTTGCAACTAACGATGAACAGTCGCTCATAAAACTGATTGCCTATTCGCGTGAGAATCTTAAGTTTTCTTATTTTGACATATTAGCTATTTTTCAATAAATATATTGATATTTAACTTATTGAATCAATATTTTAAGTTTTAGGCCAGTTGTACCAAAAGTTATAAGCAGTAGCGCATCATAACCAGGGAACAGGGTGGGTCATACTCATACAGAAGCAATTTCTTGGTTTTCCTATGATTTTTCAATGATTTTGGCATGATCGTAATTTATCATCAAAATGCTGACGTCATGATCCTGGCTGATGCGCTTTTGGGAGACATTCACCTCCTGATAATATTCAAAATGACAGACGTCCAGGGGGAATGCCTCTTCGGCACGCACTGGCTGGGACGTGACAGCGGTTACTCTAAACGGACCTTCTGCGTGTCTTTGTTCAGTGCCAGGGAGGTGACTGCTTCTGGTTATGGTACTTGCCGAGTGACAAATCATGACAAATAGTACTTACACAGGAAGCAATGGAGATGGATTTCCGTATAGTATTATGAGTCATGAGGTTTCATTGTTTTGTTGGCATGCAACATGTACGCACTGCGTACCTATTTTTTTAGAAATCTGCTAGATTTTAGCAGATCACGTGACCAGCGTCTACCAGGGTCTTTTCTCCCCAATAGGAAAGACGCTGGGTACGAAGTTGACTTTTATTATGTTCCCTAAAATTTGGGAGTTAGATAATGCAGTAATGAAGTTATGTACCTTGTACCTACGATACGCAGACCACTGTGGTATACACATGTGCTTACAATGAATGCCTAGTGACGACAAGGACGATGATGAACATTAAGGGATAAAATAGACTGAGTATGATGGAAGATATTATAACGGGTAACAGCCTGGTTCCTCGCTTATTCGCTTCCGCCTTTTAGGGTGGTATTTTGACAATGATTGCAGGTTGAGGGAGTCTCAGGCTTTTGGGGAGGGACAGGAAGGCCCAGAACTAGGCTGGACCGATATTATAAACTGGTATCTAAGGGTAGTGACTATTGGTCAAACTCATAGATATCTTATATATACACTAGATAGTGCATCTCTTTTAGTAAAATTGAAGCCAAGAATATTCTAGCGGTTACCCCCATTTGAATAGATGGTGGCCATGTTGGTGTTTCCCACTCGCTAATAAAACCTTAATATTTAAGTTCCCTGTTTAAGAAATAGAAAATTTATGAATCTTCTCATTTCATGGGAATATCCTGAGTCTGCAATCACAGCTTCAATTTTTGAATTGTAGAATAATTAGATGCACTATCTAGTGTATATAAGATATCTATCGTCAAACCAAAGGGAGACAAGCTGATGAGTTGTGAACTCACGAAAACGAGGCATAGCGAAAGCTGAGTACTTTTCGGAAGTGTGTGTTACACACCATTGATATTACACATGAGGTTAGCTTGTTCAATAGTACATTTTTATTGTTATCAACCAAGAATCTGATATTGCTTCACAAAAGTCATTAAAACAAGTCCTTTATAATGTGAGGGACGCACCATTGGAGAAGTGAAGGCGGGCACGGAGTAGTATGTTTTTAAATATTTTGCTTGTATGGATTTTTCGGTTCTTACCCCGCCCCCTTCCTTTTCAAATGGCCTATCCCTAATAGTGATTCATCTAATTAACACTTATAATTAAGAATCGCAAATGTTAACACTATTTCAAGTAGTTTTAGACGTTAATGTTGAGTTTTCATATTCAGAAGATTGTTAATTCTTGGTCCAGCGAACGCTAAAGAACATTTCCACACAGGTTCTGTTTTTACTTTTGGAAGGACCATGTTATTATAGACACATGCAGTCACTTTGAGAGTTCAGAGAGTTCAGTGCTCATTTGAATCTTGAACCTCCATTATCCTTGTGTTAAAGTCTCGTGGGATTGTTTGAAACCCACCTAAAAAATTAAACTACTAAAAAAATTAAATTAAACTACTAATTAAACTACTACAATTACAACTATTGTGATATTTCTAATTATGTTATTTATTCTAACCCATTCCGTGTGTTTTCATTTCAAACTATAATATAAATGCTTAAACGAGGACAATTTTGGCTTAATTATCTAGAATATTTATTTTAGTTCGTGGAAACACCACGTATATTTATTATTGAAAAGCTTTCGATCCGTAACAAGGATCTTCACGTCATTTCAAATATCCAGGGTATCTGGCGGAATTTTGGAGTGGGGAATTCTTTCACATTATCCTTGTAATTCGTTTTTTTTACATCCGAAGACTGGACTACCTGTGATGTTATTCTTGCCAAATTAATGCTATAGTCCAACGTTAACCAAACCTGCCAAAGGTAGTCGAGTAAAGGCCTAGGTTCTAGGCTGCTATTAGCACTGACCAAGATCCGAGCTTACAAGTGGAAAGCCTTGCAATTATTAAAAATATACGCGGTGTTTCTACAAATCAAAATAAATATTTTATTGCCATGCAAACATGCAATGAACATAAAATTATCTGGATTAAATTGTTCTGTGCAAAGGAATTAAGCAGTAGATATTTTATTGGCGGACACAGTTTTAGAAAATATAATCTTCCAATTTCTAAAAAATGAATTTAAGTTTAACTTTTTTTATCAATAAAAACGAATTCAATTAAGGTCAACAATTTTATGTCAAGATAAGATTGGTTGTACCAGAAGGCATGTATACTCTTTTCCGCTCGTAGAAAACATATGCAATCAGGCAAACACTTACTTTTTACTTAACCGGTACATATATATCTTCTTTACCCAATCCATTTTCGCCAAGCTTGCAAGGACTAATTTTTCAGTGTACAAAGCTACACTAACATTGGCCCAGGTAACCATTTCATCAAAATTAGAAGCTCTGGCAAGATGTTGAGCTTTCCTAGAGAATTGAAACGCTTCTTCTAGGAATATTTCGTTCTTTTCAGGATTAACTTGGGCATACCGATAATAAAGTGTCGACTGTACCATATTGAATTGAACCTCACGGTATCGACTGAGCGAATAACCACTACATACTGACTTATTTAACGCCATTAGGCTAGACGTCGCTGTTTCCAGTCTTAATTGATTCACATGCTTCTCGATTATCTTTCCTGACATATCATATCCGAGATGAAATGTTGCCAAAATTATGTACGCCTTGTGTTCCATTTCTACCTGCACTTGAGACCTTGGTAAATACTTCAAATGTTCAAGTACCTTCCTAGAAAGTTCGGCAGACGATGGACCATCCTCATTTAGTCCAGAGTTTTGATTCATTGCTGCAAATGAAAATGTCAATGCTGTAATAATCCCCGGTGTTAATTGGTCCGCCTTTAACAAAGCACTTTCCAAGAATTCGCTAACAGCTTCGAATTCCCTTTTCGCACGCTTTAAAGCTGCTTTCAAACACAAATAAATCACTTCGAAAATCAAGATATCGTTTGCTTTCGGTAAAAGTTTATCATAATCAACAAGCAAGTGACGTGCTTTGGAAAGACGACCTTGCCGGTAATTCGCTATCACTCTTCTTGATAAAACCATTAGCTTCATCTCAACTTCAGGATATTTATCTTCAAATAACTTTGCATATTTTGAAAACATTTCCCATTTTCCATTGTTAATGGCCGTCATTAAAACTTCACGAACCTTAGTGCAACGACGTTCTGTCGCAGATGAGCTCCATTCAATCCGTTGTACGGCCGCAGGAATATCTACATCACCAAGTTGCAATACTCTCTTCTTCCAAGTAACAAACGACATCTTCTCAATTTTGCCCTCCACCATTTCATAACATTCTGGTTCCTCAGTGAACACACCACCCAGACAAGCAGCGATGTAAATCACGATCACAAAGGTTGATGGGATAACATTGGAGTTTTCATCTACCACTGGCTCGAAGCATATTTCCCAGTGTTCCCCTCGTTTTGGTTGATCAATTTGCTCAGGCCACTTCATCTTCTTGATGGCTTTTTCAACTTTCTTTATTATTTCACTGATATCTTCGTTTGGGATCACCTCGCCTTCAACAACCCCATCGTCTCTGATACCAAAGTACATGTGACCTCCGTTATAGTTGGCGAAAGCAGATACGTAACAACTGAACTTATTACCTTTACCAGTCATACGATCTGCTAGTCTGGTACGTTTTGATTGATCTGCTTTTAGATTCTTAAACATAACCATTTTGTTCTCATGAAAATCACAATTTTTACCTTTAAGAAATATTCGACAATGTGAATCAAGTTGAACTGGTTCTGGGACGAATCTTCTGTTAATGATATCGTCCTTGACTTTCTCCAGTGGCTCCCAAGGAGATATTTGTACAACTTGTGATTGACTTGGCAAATAAAGATTATAATTAGTTATTATTAAGCAATCAGCCTTTTTGACTAAAATGACCATGCTTTCTTTATCTTCTTTAAAATTTATTTTCGAGATGGTCTGGTTTGATCCAATAATAGATATCAGAGATTGTTCCAGAATTCGAATCAACAGAGAAATCGCGGAGACGGCTAACAGGCACGTGCACTTGTTATATAACACAACTTTTCCACCAATGCTGTTTAGCATAGCACAGATAGCAATTATTATATCTTTTAATATTTGTTCCTTGTACCTTTTGTTAGTCGAGGACGAGATGTTAACAAACTTACACAAGGATATCATATGAACAGTCTCATCAACACGACTGTCCATCGTCGTTCGTATGTTTCTTGACCAAAAAGGTAAACGATTTTTAGCGATACAATTCTCAGGCCTTATAACGTTAACAAAATACTGAAGCTTCTAATTCCTATAATACCTAAGCAAATATCACTAGTTACTCATTTGTTCTATATTTATAGTTGTTAGTCAATGGAGTGATGACTAAGCATATTTTAGAAATTAGAATAGATCTTTCTTATAATGACGTCATCGCGGAAAACCAATTTATGCGATGTCCCACAGGCGAGTTGTTGGCGAGCCAATAAATTGCGAATTTCGCTAAAAATTGTCTTCTGGGACATCACATTAAGTGTTTTTCCGCGTTTGACATCATTATAAGAAAGGTCGATTAGAGAGCTGAGCAGCATTTTTTATAATGCTAATATTGCTGTGTCATCATAATGCTAAGATTCATTATAATATATTATATTATATTGAATGTTAGCATAATGATGACACAGCAAGGATGATACAGCAATATTAGCATAATGAAAAATGCTGCTCTCAGCTCTTTAATCGACCCTCTTACAATGACGTCAAACGCGGTCCCGCTTACCCGGGATTCAATAAAGTGTGACGTATTTTGGGCAGAGTTGAATTACGTGTTTCAGCCTTAAACAAAAGTTAGATAACTTTTAATACTGTTTAAACGAAATTAGGAACACGCTAGAAGTTATGTAGTGAAAGAAGACGATTAATAACATTCAACAACATTTGTTTTTTGTCCAAAACATGGAATTTCATACACTTTGTAACAAGCAATTTTGTTAGATCATGAAGTGCGACTTATTTCAATTGCTCAAAATACGTCACACTTCATTGGATGAATATTGCTGTGTCATCATAATGCTCAATTTCAATATGTTTATTGTTTTTAGATATAAACCTAGGATGGGTTTCATGCTAATAATACTAGTATTAGTGAAGCGAAAAATCTATATAGGGATAAAGGCACGTTTGAAAATACCCAACCATATGTTGGCCCAACATAAAACAGTATGTGGTTAGTTTTGTACAATTTACATCACATTATCACGGCTTATTATGTACATTTTTGAATAATTTGATCAAATTTATTCAAATTGAAATCGTTTCCTTAAGATATTTGGGAAAGAAATTACCGTATGGAACAACATATCATATGAACGTCCTTCAGTGGTGATAACAAAGCCAACAAGTTCAACAATGTTTGGGTCAGTAGAAATATTTCAATTATGCTGATTAATAGCAATTAAGGCTGAATCAGCATTGGTAATCTCATCTTTTTTATACGACGCGTCTGTGTCCTGTGACTTTTTTCTCACGTCGAATTTAATATAGACGAATTTATTTTGTCGCTATTAAATTCGTCAATTTATAGTCGAACATTGGTTACACAGAGATGAGAGATACGAACCACGAATGAGAAACATAAGTTGGCATAATTTCTGCACTTAATGCCGGACACGACAGTTTTGGCTGAGCTAACAACTGCATGAGGCCATATTAATTATTATACATAGCTTATACTATTATAGCAAGTTTTTCAGATACCAAATCGCCTCAGCCAACCAAAGTGGCAAATTCCCCACCCCAAAATACACGCAAAAATAGACCGAACTTCAAAGCCTAGCCTGTGGCCGGGCTATTCAAAGCCTTGATGGAACTTCCAACATAGCGCAAGAGATTTTATTAACATGCGGCGATTCTCTTCTCTTCCTCAAGTTATCAACAAGAGCATTGCGATGAGGTATTGGAATGGAATTGGAATGATATATCGTCATTGGATCCTGACTAAGTATTTTTAGATATTACATTTCTCGGTTAAGAAGCGTTTTACCAAATCCGAGTCAATTATAGTTAGTACCTTCAAATTCACAATTCATGCATACAGTACATATGAAAGAGACGTACATCTTTGGTAGCCACTGTCACGCATTATATATAGCCATGTTTTCCCAATTGCACTGAACATATCGGACATGGAATAAATTGAATATGTCACAGCCAGGGCCTGTTCATATGGGCAAAAGTTAATAAGTTATCCCGGTTATAGTGACAAAATTTTTCGACAAGTTCACAAACGAGATCTCGCCTTGGTATGAAAATAATATGAAAAGTTACACTGCGTTCATATAAGACAAAAAGTTTTCCCGTGTATTGAGATCTCGCTTGTTGACAGGCGAGATCTCGATGACCGGGATAATGTTTTTCCCATATGAACACAACTTTCCCGCTTAGCGGGATAACTTTCTGTCGTGTGATGTTCAATTGATGTTCAGTGCTACGTCAGGCCCAGGTGCGGATATAGGATTTTTCAAACATAAGTCGAACGCCGAAGGCGTGAGACATGCCAGGGGGGTCTGGGGGCAAGCCCCCCGGAAAATTTTGAAATCTAGAGTCTCTGAAATGCGATTTCAAGCGTTTTGGCGGTGAGATTTTGCAGAATTCCAAATATTATAAAGTACATCAAGCACATGCTTTTTTTATGATCTCACAAACGTGCCTTCTCCCCAGTCCTCGGAATTAGATTTACTAACGGAGGGTCATATTACAAAACACATCATATAGTTTCAACTTTCAATAGCCTTTGAGTTTGGCTCATGAAATCCTTCGCAAATTGAAGTGATATGATACCAATGGCCGATCCAATATAACTCGCTGTTTGTGAATCAAAATTCTCAAGCAAAATAAAGAGTAATATTTCAATTATACTTTGTAAAATGCATTTTTTATTCAATGAATTACAATATGCTATAAATATCACTTGTATATTATAACGATATTCATCGCAAATCTTTCATGCAATGCAAATCATCCAAATTATATTGTTTTAACCCTCCAATGCCAATGCTCTATTCTGGCCCTT